AAAGAAATTAATCGGACAACTAAAAATATATAGAAAAAAATTAGCCGGGCATGGTGGCGCATGCCTGTAGTCCCAGCTACTCGGGAGGCTGAGGCAGAACAATTCCTTGAGCCCAGGAGTTTGAGGTTGCTGTGAGCTAGGCTGACACCACAGCACTCACTCTAGCCCGGGCAAAAGAGTGAGACTCTGTCTCAGAAAAAAAAAAAAAAAAGATGTAAGAATGAGTTAGTCCTTGACTAAATGCCATGTGGCAAATATACATATAATTGGTATACAGTGTATTAATTATTATTTTTTTTTTAAGAGACAGAGTCTCACTCTGTCCCCCAAGCTGGAGTGTATTAGCCTGATTACAGCTCTCTGCAGCCTCCAACTCCTGGGTTCAAGTGATCCTCCCTGCCTCAGCCTCAGCCTCCCAAGTAGCTGGGACTACAGGCATGTACCACCGAGCATGGCTAATTTTTTAATTTTATGTAGAGACAGGGTCTTGCTATGTTGCCTAGGCTGGTCTTGAACTCCTGGCCTCAAGCAATCCTCCCACCTCAGCCTCCCAATGTGCTGGAATTACAGGCGTGAACCATCAAGCCTGGCCTCACAATGTATTAACTATTTAAAAACAGAACAACAACAACTGCAACAAAAAACTAGTCTTTAACCACAGATAGTTTGAGAAGCACTGCACTAGACCACATGGATTCTGACATGGTTCTGAGTAAGCTATCAGAATCCACGAAGGACAATGAAGATATGCTATCCACATGGAAACCATTGTCATTTCAGTTCAATGATATCTGTGTGGTGCTTTGTAGTTTAAATGTCTGACTCATCTGAAACTCCCAGTAACAATACAGTGTCTGGAATCTTTGCTAAGTTTGGCTCTACACTATCTGTGCAACCTTGGTCAAGTGGCTTAGCTCTTCAAGCCTCAGTTTCCTTATCTGAAATAACAATACCTCGTAGAGGTGTTTTTCTGATCAAATTAAACGAAGTACTTAGCATAATGTCTGGATCATATATTGTAAATGCAGTAAATGTTGGATATTAACAAAATGCAGTAAACACCATTATAAAATGGTGATCATCCTCATCTACTATCAGATGATTATAACCATGTTAGTAAAGATCACTAACATGATTATATATGTACTATACACAGTGATCTGTGCTAATGTGGTTATAATCATTCATTAAACATTGAAGCAATATCAAGTGCAATACTCTTTTGTGGATAGTAGGATATAATCCTTGCCCTTCAGCAGTTTAGAATCTAGCAGGTGGTTTTAAATACAGACATGAAAGATGTGTGTGGAGTAAAATAAGGGTCATAAAGGAAGAGGAAAAAATTACAGGAATCAATTTTTCGATTCCTGTAATTAAGAGGAATCAAGAGGTTTTAAGGTGAACAGTATTTGAAATGATCTGAAAGGATGAATTGAAGTTTTATGACTGAGTGAAATATGACATGGAGTTTAAAATGATCATGATATATTGAGCTAATTTTGATAATATATTAAATAAGACATGCAGTTTGATGGTAAGATGTACATTATGACACCTATCTTCAATTATTGTTATAAGAAAAATCTGCATATAAAGGTCTAGATGGATATATTATGTGGTTATTTCTTGATGGTGAGATTATGGGAAATATTTATTATT